CGATGTATGGCGAATGGAATGGAGTGAAATGAAGGCTGTGGCATGCGACTCATCCTTTGGCTGTCTGCTGCCCTTATCGTCTCATCAGCTGGCTAACTGACTGACTGACTGTGGCCCGTGCCTGTTGTTGATGGGCCATTTGCCCCAGCCAATGCTTCGACCATTGCCACTGCCACTGCTGCGGCTGCTGCTGCTCCATTGCCACCTGACTCCACATTCTCCCCGCTACCCCGTACGATTATATAGAAATGTTCTCCTTTTTTTATTCCTGATGTGCGCTTGGGTGATAAATAAAAACTGTCTGCGCCTATGTGGCTACTGTCGGTGTCTCCCCCAGGTTCTCTGCCTCTCTGTTTCGAGTGGTTTCTTTTTTTTTTTTTTTTTTTTTGTAACAATGTCTGACTTTTTGCCATGTAAGCTGAGACCTTTTTGGGGTGACATTGAAACACATGCCAAACAGAGGAAATTCGAAAAGCCGCAGCCGCAAAAAAAAAAATTCAATTTAACTCTGTTCCGCTTTACGCTTTCCCTTTCCCATTGCCGCACATCTCGCTCTCACCCTCTCTCTCTCCCGCTCTGCTTTTGGCCGTGTCTATTGGCCATTTAAGCATGTCAATGCGGTGCCAGGCCACGCCCCACAACTGCAGCTTAACAACTTCATTTCGGCCTCGATCCTGAATGCATAAATCAAATGCAGTCAAAGAAGAACCGACCAGCAGCAGCCCCAAAAAATAGTTCAAAATGAAACACTACAAAAAAAAAAATATCCAAAAAAGAAAAACCAAAAGAGCAGACAACGAATTCGGTGCAGGATTAAAGGATGTTTTGGTGAAGCACTCATATCGAATGTGAATATGAATGTGAATGAATGCAATGCAAGTTCAAAAAAGTGTTGATAGATTATGCATATTGGCAGTCGGCAATAGCGAGAGGGGGGGCTTTAAAATGTATCCATTTGAAAGTCAATAAATCATGAATTGAATTTTGAAGTGCATTGAATATCCCCGATCAAAAAAGAACAGTACAGGATCTAATGGATAAAGCTAGGAATTAAAAGCACGAACTGAGAAAGGAATTTTGACATAATCCAAAACAAACGAGACAGTTCTCTACCATGCCATGAATTAATACATCAAAGCAAGTCAAGAGCTAAACAATAGATTTAAGAAGTATATAAATTTAGTCTGAAGCAGAACGGATCTCAGACTGAGGCAAAATGGAAAATATCTGGTAAGAGCCATTGTGCCTGAAATATAACATTTACTTTAGTTTCTTTTTTGTTTTAACGAAATTCACGCTCTTTGTACGCGTAGTTCAATGTGGCCATCTAGTGTGGGTCCACCAAGAGATTGGCAATGGTACGACCATTACATTGATGATGAACTTGAAAATAACATTGATGATGAACTTGAAAATAACATTGATGATGAACTTGAAAATGACATTGTATTGGGGCATATTAATAGCAAAATATTTAAATAAATCTAAAACAATTCGATAATGAACATTGTAAACCAAGGGAGTTGAGGCAATAAGTAGCAAAGAGCAAAATCGTTGTTATAAAGGAGCAACCGACTGAAAAAATCATCCTTTAATCGATATTGTTGTCGATAGGCGTGAAACAATATTTAATACAGATCGAGAACAATTCGTAAAATAAACATTGATGATACCAATGTTACAGGTGGGTAAATTGTGAAGCTCTGCCGATGCCCAGCTCCATTTAGCTGGAAAATTCAGTGCTCCATCGTTAAATGCGCAGGTGGCGACCGCTAATGATGTCCCCCCCCACCACCACCTCCGGACGGACATCGCAGTAATCGCCACAGACATCTAATGATTGCCCCAGCTGTTAACCCAGCCGCCAGCCCACACTCCATTTACACATCTCCTGCCGGACATCGATTGGGTCCATCACAGAGAGAGAGAGAGAGAGAGAGAGTTCCAGGGCTCGGTCGTTCGACATTTGCTGCTAATTACATTCTGTGGTCGGCATAACAAATCCCGCTGCCAGATGGAAAAAACAAAAAAAATATATATATATACCTACTACGTGGCATGGCCGGTAAATGGAGATGGAAATGTGAAGTATACGCACATGTGACCAGGCCTCCTGCTACGGCTGCTACTGCTCCACATCTCCCCACCCCCCTCAGCATTTATGATTGATGGGAGAGTCTATTGGAAAAAGGTAGGGGGGCGAAAAAAAAACAACGATGCACAAACAAAGCACGGGGAAAATCTGGTCAGCTTTCAGGTTCAATTTGGGATGGGAGGGAATGGCGCAAAGCGGATGGCGGATGCCAGAAGGCTGGACACAACAAGTAATTAAAATAGCAGGCAGGCAAATGGTTCAGGTTAGGTGAGAGCTGCGGCGCTCTTTCTGTTTGTTGCATGCAGCTGCCGCACATGTGACGCCACAAAGCAAATGGGGACACTACAAGAAATTGCGAATACTTTTCAAAATTGAAGAATAAACAATAAAGAAAAATGTACCCAATAATAATTTTACTCGTATTATTCCTATTTTTTTTTTTTTAGCTCCATTTTCTGTATATTTCAAGCTGAACTTTTCTCTAAGTGTTGCAACATTTGGTTGGTTCGGTTCGGTTCAGTCCAGCGTTCAATACAGTCGTAGTTCCAACCATATTGATTGATTTTTAATTACAAACATTTACACATAAAAAGAGAGACCATCCGAACCGTTGCAGCCAAGTGGGGGGTGGGAGAGATTCAATCGTTCAACCACTGGACGCTGTGTGTGTGGGGGGATGGTGTCCCTCCACTGGCGAAGGGGACTACTTCAATTTCAATTAAATGGTTTTTTATTAAACGCATAAACAAACGCAAATAGGCGGACGTGGAGCACTGAGGCAGGCGTGCATGGATGCTGTGTGTCCAGCATCCTTAATGGGGATTTAAAGGAGCTTTCAGACGCGTTCGCCGTATAATTGCCAACGTCGACGTTGACGCATGCAATTAGCAACAATGCAAGCAGGCAGACCAAGATACAGAGGCAGAGAAAGAGAGAGAGAGAGGGAGAGAGAAAGAGAGACAGTTCAAGGGGAGATGCAAAGAGGCACAAAGCAGACATTTGTCGAGGGGGCAAAACGCACTGAAAGAGCAGCCAGCAAAATGCAAAAGTTGGCGAAAAACTTTGTCTCCTCTTCCACACACACAAAAAGGATCAAAAGGGGTGGGAGGGGGGGGATTGCAATCAATGAGCCATTGTTACAGGCGTTCGACAATTGAAAATTGCAGAAACCGGCATAGCCGGGAACAAAAAAAACAAGAGCCAGCGAACAGATTTCCATTCAAACGAGTGGCGCGCGTGCCATTTGCCATTTTGCCATTTTTTTTTTTGCCCGATTCTGCCTCTTCATATTGCTGAGGATGCTGTACCCTGGGCGGGGCCCAGGCATGCCAGGCACTTACATATTTAGGCGATTCCATAAATGGTAATCGTTCAGTAATTTTTATTATAGATTATATTCATTTAATGGGATGATGACCCTCAGTTCTGAATTCTTAGCACTTTGTGCTCGTCTTTCCTTATTCCATTTTTATATTTTTTATCATTGCTTATCCAACACTGTTTTTTGCCTACAATCTTTTATCGCTTTTTCTTCATATATTTTATTTATTTATTAATTTTTGTATTAGTTGCCTTTTCTATTTATGTGATTTAGATTTATTTCTGTTTATTTGTTTTTACTTTTGTAAGTTAAAGATCTCTTTCCATTTTGGACTTATGTATTTCTGTACATTTCCCATTGTTGCCCGTGATTGCTTTTTGATCATTTCTTTTCTTTTGTTTTATTTATCTATCGTTTAGTTTTTTATTATTATTGTGCATAATTTCTATGATTTCTCATTTATCATGGGCCGTAATGGAATGTCACTGTCTCTGCTTTATTTTCTTCAGTTCACGTAAAGTCGGTAATTGAAAGCACACACACACACAGAGGTAGATTGGGGGTTATCTTAAGCCTGAGTTTGAGGCTGAAGGCTGTAAAGGCTTTGGATAAATGGAGAATGAGTTGTACCGTACCGTAATGAGTTTTCCCCGCCACCCGCCCAAACTGCCTGAACACGTGATAATTGCTGGCTCAGTCTCTGAGGATTCACCTTATTGAATCTGTACAATTTGTTGGACATTCCAGCCCACAGCCCACAATCCACTTGTCCACTGTTTTCAGTCTCTCCCCTAACAGCCATTACCTGCTCCAGCCATCCAGCCATCCAGCCATTTGCCAGCTATCCTCCTGGCATCCTGCACACACACACACACATTTTTTAATTTCAATTGTCTATGCAAAAGAGCTTTGAATCGCAAAATGGTCAGCCCCATGGACTAGGACGTGAACCCAACTCCAGTCTCCTGGCTGACCAATGCTTGGCTTGGCTTTTGTCTCTTGTCGCCTTTTGTGGAAGCGTTACTCCAACTCTCTAGATTCGTCCATCTGCCTGCTCTGCACTATTGTCTGCCATTTGCTGCTCGACTCAGATAAATTTCAATGAATTTTGCAAGCGAAGCAGAGTCGTGATTCCACCAGACCCTGGTTCTGGCTACATTTCTTTTGTTTATCTTTATACATTTACAATTAAAATGGGTTCGCATTGTTGTCGCTGTCGCTGTCGCAATATTAATGAATCTTCTCCCACTCTCGCTCTCGTCCTATATCCATAGCCGCCGCAGTGTGTGGCAGAGGGACACAGCCAGGCAGGACCCGTTAATTGATTGCAATTTGTTTATGTAAATTCCATCCAACGAATGAATGAATGAATCTGTTTGGTCCCCATATTTTTTGTTTTTTTTGGGTTGCATTTTCCCTTTTTTTATTTGTGGCAAATATTCGGTTGTGTGCGGTCACATGCGTATGGCACGGACCCAGGAGGACCAGCAGGACGAGCAGGACCAGCACAAATTGCGTTTATCCGCAAATTATCTCATTAAGCTAAATCAATAAATTAATAATTATCGCATTGAGCACACTCACCCCTTCCTCCTTGCCCTGCAGCAGATGAACGGCCCCCGAACGTTGGATGCCCGGCAGGAACCACATGGGATGGGTGAGCAGCAGCCGCTCGCCCAGACCCAGATCGCAGGGCGGCGAATTGTCGCTGGAATCGCGACTGGTCTCCTCATCGCGTTCATCCTCGCTGGAGGTTTCGCCCTCGGCCAGGATGCCGCCCTCGGAGCTCGACACCAGAGATGTGCGTGACTGCAAGCGATATAGAGAGCGATATATACATATATACAGATTAGTTAAGTGTAAATTGGTAAATTGGTAAACAAACAAATAAAACAAGTCAACTGATGGGAAATGCTCTAATGCTAAGGGTCTGCTAAGCCTTTCTTTAAAATACTTTTGTTGAGTTTTCACTGCCTAGAGGCAGGACTAAGGGCACTAAAGTTCCTCCAACCAACGCAGTGCTGCCGGCATAGACAACACTTTAACCAACACTTGACACATTGCCATTGGCCATATACAACATATTTTGTTACATCCATCATATACACACACACACACACATTTTGAGTGCAATCCCATGTCAGGCCATCAACGATTTTTTCCGGGACGCAACTTTAAAAGCGGCCCAGGGCCAGGTCTCCTGCCAGCTGCCTACCAAAACTTGTAGCAAGAGAAGCAGCAGCAGGAGCAGCAGCAGCCGCAGGCTGGGATGACAGCGAAAGCAGAGTTGAAGCGACCATGAAGATACCCCGTAGTCAGATTTAGTTCTTGGAAAAAAAATTTAAAAATTACTGCTAAAGCTTAACTGCAGCTACATACATACGTGTGTATAGCTCATAGCAGGTGGATGGTTGTTGTCCAATGCCCTCGTAGATGCTCGAATATACCCGCCGCTTCTATGCAACAAAAAATTCAGATTCTGTAGAAGAAACATCCACAAAGCAGCAGCAGCAACAGCAGCAGCATCATTCGAGGCAGTAGCATAGGCGTTTTTAATTGAAAATTGCCGTGGGCTGGCTTTGAAGTTCGCTCTCTCTCTCTCTCTCTCTGTGTCGCGTTGGTTGGTGGAGTGTGTGGCACAGCAGTCATATCGTAGCATACTTTCGTGCCACATCAAAAGTGCTGCTGCGGGGGAGATGACGAGTGGAGTGGTAAGTGTGGGAGAGTGTGGGTGTGGCACCCTCTGTCATGTCATGTCATGCCATGCCATGCCATGCCACGCTGATGATATTTACAGAGCGTAAGCGATGCCAAAAAATTGATGCCAAGGCAAATGCTTATGCAAATGAAAATTATATGAAAATAAATAAGAGACATCGCGATGAGGGGATGGGAGCGAAAGACAGAGAGAGACCAAAGATAGCCTGCGAAGCCTGCTGTATCTGCAGTTAAACGGTGATTGACAAGTTTGAATTGGAATATCGCGACTGGTCTTTATTTGTGGCATATTCAACGAATCGGTTTAGCCATGTCCAATATGGGACGTTTTTATAGAAAATACAAATGGCATTTCACGCATTTGATGATTCTGCCATTGCTACAAATAGTTTATCGAAAGCAAAAGCTCAAGAGAAGTTTTTTATGTTTAAGCGGAGCATCTGGAATTTAATAAAAAAGTCTTTTGAAGTCCCATTATATGTAGGTTTGCATACAAACCAAAATATACGCATACAAATAAATAAAATAAAAACTTAAGTTTTGCCAAAGCTTTCACATCAAATTCAATAAAATTGTATGCAACTTATTTAAATTAATTTATTTTAAGGGATCTAAGTAAATTATATCGAGAGAAAATGAAATGGAAATGTGTTGGTTTTGTTGTTGTTTTTTTTTAAAAGCTTTCTCTAGAGCGGTTAACTTGTCTAAGGAAATTTATTTATGCATTTATATCAGCATTTTGTGGCCTCATAATGAACAGAAATAAACGCGTAGCGGGGGCAGGAAAACTCAAGTGTGTGTCAAGTGGCTGTGGCAAAAAGTCCAGTGGCTCGCTCGTTACCACCAACAACGTCATGGATACCCCCGGTTCAAAAAAAAAAAAAAACTTGTAGTCAAAAAATCCAAACACAAAAAATAAGCAAGACAACAACAAAAAAAGGGTCACTAATTGAGTTATTTCTGGCCGAGTGTCAAATTAGGTTGCCTGACTCACCTTTTTTCGTTTGATACATATCTAGATAGATGGCAGGATACTCGCATGCGTACTGTAGGTTTATTTTTTATTTTTTAAGGGGTTGTGGGGGCTGTGTGCAAATTTGATTTACGGTGCCGGCAGTGATATTTAATTTTTGATGTCATTTATTAAGCAAAGGCAAAGTTGAGTGGGGGGAAAGTGAAGTGGAGATCAAGTTGCATGGGTTTCAGTTACATTCGCAGCAGTCTGCTGCCTTTTCGGACGCATTAATCATACGCAGAGTTGACACAACGACAGGAAATGAAACCAAGACGCTGCTGCCACACAGACAGACGGACAGACAGACAGAGAGTAGCAGCGTAGCTGAATCCCAGACAGAAGTCTCAAGACAAAACGTAATGAAATGGAAATGCAAAATGTTCGCCTGTTTATTTGCCAACCATTTAAATGCGAGCGAAGACCCCCACCAGAAGAGGATGAAAAAAAAAATAGAAACCCAAAACAGGAGCCCGAACCCGAGCCCCAGCAGACAGATGATGGAGACATACAGCAGAGGACATACAAAAAAAAAAAAAGGGAAAATTGCGCAAATCCCTTGAAGAAATGTTTGAAATTTTTCAAAGCTCACAGCGGGTGGTTTGGGGTTTGGGAAATGTTGCGAAATTATGCTTAAATCAAAAATCACAGCAGCGGCAAAAGAAAACGCGCACTGCAGGCGGGCAACCGACCAGGAGCAGGAGCAGGAGCAGCAGCAGCAGCAGGAGCTGGAGCAGAAGGCCAGCCCGGGCGGCGCAACCCTTGTGTGTGTTTTGTGCTGGGACCACGACCGGGCGGCGGGCGCTGTGTGAGGTAAATGCTGCGCATATTTTATGCCCTGCATTAGGTCTTAAGTATTGCTTATTACATCAGTGCGTTGCGGTCCCTTTTTTGGGTCCCCCGAAACTATTCGAAAGCGAGTCGGGAGGCAGTCGACTCGAGTGGCGGATGCGTCACGGGTCGTTTTTTGTGTGGGGAACCAATGAAACTCATTTGCTGGCTGGTCCGCTCTTTAAACAGACAGACAGACAGACAGATGCACAGAAATGTTGGCAGCGGTCTGCTGCTGTCTGCTTTGGCAGCAGTTCAAAAATCATTAATTTGATGTTTATCCATTGGGAGGTTGTTCCGTTCCTTCAGTTAATTCCATTCAAGAAATAATCCTAATTTTCTATCTCATGTGAAAATTGGCAACGTTTCGGCGGCACTGTTTAAGCAGCTGGCAACAGTGCAAAATAAATATTCACAGCTGCCTAGGCATAACCAACCGAGGAGCGCTGCTGCATGTTAATATTTAAGATGCTTCTAAGCATCTCCAGTTGCATTAATTGTAATAATTTTGATTATATATTCCTGCTTTGTTATCTTAATTAACTGCTCTAAGATGATACTTATTGGGTTAGCATTAATTCGAGCTCCCCCCCACCTGTCCGCGGTGTTTGCCAGATATTATAGCCATCCCCTGTACAGATTTCACTCACGCATTTGTTTACGGATTAACCGAAACATATAAAAAAGAGCACAGCACACACCCCGACATGGACATGGACATGGGCAAGGGCATGGATATCTAATAGCTTTGAGTTGGATGGAGGACTCCTTGCAGTAGCAACCCCCAAAGAAAATAAAATAAAAATAAACTTCTGAGTAGCCTGGCTGCATTTTTGAGTGCCACAGAATGGGTAGGAGATTATTGGATGAGGGTTGTTGCTGCCACACTCTCTCTCCCCTCTCTCTCTCTCTCTCTCTCTCTCTCTCTGTCATGTGTGCGGCGTGTGGAGAGTTTTTGGCTTTTGCGACTTTAAATTTGATGCGTTTCCCTTCAGTTTACTTACGCTAACAATGAGGCAAGCTGCAACAATGGAAGGCCACAGCATGGAATAGACCTGGCCCAGACTAGGACCAAGATCCAGAGCCAACACTTTCACGGTCATGGCCTGGAGCAACAGCAGCAGCAGCGGAAGTAGCCACGAGACAGCAGACAGACGAAGAAAGTATTTTTGGCTTCCGTTCTGGCAGCTGTTGAAAATGAAAATCATTCTCAGTTCCACTTCCAGTTACAGTGCCAGTCGGAGTCGCAGTAGCAGTCACAGTACCTTCCTCCATTCAATCTTAAGACCTTTCCACCTTTCCGCTACAAAATATTGGCAAACAATTGTCTGGCTCTGGGCTTTGGGCTCTGGCTTTGTGTCTGGGGGTGTCTGTTGCTCTTCCTGGTGTCTCGATTCATGCCAATATTGGTGGAAATACTTTTGGCCAAAATTCAATGGCAATATAAAAATTCCCAGCCAATGACAAAATGCCCTCTCTCTCTCTCTCCCCTCCCTCTCTGTCTCTCTGCCTGTCTCCAATCGTATAGCCCCTGTTCACACATTGCATCCCGCAACGACTCCTTTCCATCCTCCAGCCACTGGCATTTAATAAATTACACAACAAACCAGGCAAGAGGGGAAGAGGGAAGCGAAAACGGCGAGTCAGAAGTCAGAGAACGAGTTGGGGAGCAGCAACTATTTATTTGATGCCGCCCAAAAGCAGGCAATGACAATTTGTCAAATGCGACAAATGAACGAGAAACAACAACAGCAAAAATACATACATACATACATATATAGTACTATATAGAACTACGAAATAAATTAAAAAGAAACGACAGGAGAGGAAAGAAAAGCAAGATGCGAGTAGTTTTTTTTTGGGGTACATTTGGAGATTCTACAAATAAGAACTAATTGTTATTATGTTGCGTGCCGTATGTATAATGCTGTTCCATGTTAATCTAATCTAATACTAAGAAAAAACTACTCGCCCAAATTTATGTGTATTTTTGAGTCAGTCTCTTGAGCAACATTATTAAGACACCAGATGTACATAATTTAAACTAAATCCAAAGTTCTTTGAACTTAATGGACTGGCCATTAATGGCTTAAGTCAAAGATCCTGCAGAAAATTCAGAAATATGTGTACATTTGATCTTGCAATTAATTTAAACAGTGGAGTAAATATGTAAGGTGTAATGTGGGTTTTTGGTGTGGCAGAAACTTTGCTTACATCATTCGTCCTATATGCATAGTCCTCAAGGGCGATAAAGAAATAATTTGAAGGGGGAAAAGAGAGAGAGAGAGTGAAATAAATTTCAATGCCTCAGGGTATCAATTTTTGAAAGGGATTTATTTCCCTCCCCAAAAAATAAAGCCACGTTTCCTGTTTCCGTTTGATCCGCCAGATAGCGGGTCATATGAGTAGCAGCCATCCGCCCCCCGCCCCACGGCCGCCTTCCCCATCGTTGTGTTATGGGGTGCGAACAGGATGAGGACACAAAATCCCTCCTGCATAAAGCATCTCTTATCGATGACATCCAGGGTCCGGTCCAAGCGTGAAATTAATTTCATAAAAAGGCAGAACAGGCATGGCAAACAACCCACGCCACTTACACACTCTCCGCTTACACTGTGCAACAAATTGCATAATTATTTGTTGTGGGCGGCGGTCGGTGGATGGATCATGGTGCACTTTTGTGGTGCGAATATGAATCAAAAATTAATTGAATACATAAATTGGGAATTTAAATTACATTTTCGACTAGCGAGAGGTGAGGCCATTATTATGCAGCATGATTACTTCCATAGAATTCAGATTAAACGACACTTTACGAGTATATTTCCCAAAAATTATTCCTTTAACAGTGTAAAATGCATCAGAAATTACCCAAATTATCTCTGGAGGGCATTTAAATATATTTAAGTTAATTTAAAAGCTGCTTAAAGCTTAGATTTGAATGATTTTAACCAACAGGTAAAAACAAACAAAAAAGGCAATAAGTGCATACATTTCCAGATACTGCATAAACATTTATTTTATTTTATTTTAGTTAGCTGAACAAACCTATTGAAGCCAACAAAAATAAATAGTGGTTTTGCCTTTCTTTTTAATGACATACCTTTCTACATTAATATCTTCAAATACTTGCATCTTTTATTGCACAAAATCTGACATAAAACATTTCAAAATTTTAAATATTTTAAAATTTTTCATAAAATTGTCCCTTGCTAATGCTTTTCGATTTTTTTGTGCATTTTATTTTAAACATAAAATTGCCCAAAATCAACTTAAGCTATGCGGCTTATCATGCGGCTAATTAAGGGTTAAGAGTTCTAACTGAAGTTATCCATTTAATTTGTTCTTATTTTGTAGGGGAAGAGTTTCCCCTTTCGATGTTAAGTTCTAATTGTTATTATAATTCTGTAGATCGGATCACCGTATCCCAGAGAATTCATGGGAATGATGCAGGTGTACCTTGGATATCTCTAAGCACCAGCGCCAGTGCACTGGTGCCAGACAGCAGCATCCCTTTCGATGCCTCGCTTTGCCCTTTCAACTCCATCCTAATAGTTTGACAAAAGGTGAGCCCGATAAGCAGCAGCCCTGCACGTGTCCTGCCTGCTTTTTTTTTTCTACCATATCGCTATATCTATCCATCGCTCTACCGATGCTGTGCATGCGGGCAAATTGCACTCGAGACTGAATTATTGCCTGACGCAGCGCCGTGGTGGCATCAGCGAAACAGCAACAAAAAAAAAAAACGGCAACGGCAAAACAAAACGTGCAACAGGATGGGACTGCGACTGGAACTGGGACTGGAGCAGGACACACGCAAGAGGAGACCAGAGCAGAGTAGAGGAATGGAGTCCCTGTGCAACATCCTTGGAAATAAAAGATAAATAGAAGCCACGTAAAATGTTGTTGAATGTTTTAAAAAACCATAAAAACCACAGAGAATTACATTTAATGGCAGCAACAGCAGCAGCAGCAGCACAGCGGGACAGTGCCTCAAAAAAGGGAACGAATGGGGCAAACCAACCGCAATGGCAACAACACAGAGAGACAGAGAAAGCGAGTCCTGGGTCCCACAGACAGGCACAAGAATAGATGGAGGAGAGTCCTCTGTCTGTTGCGAGACTCTGTGACATCCGAGAGTCGAGGCTCGTGGGTAGTCGGTGTGGTGTGTGCAGAAAACAGTTACAGCTGTCAGCACATGCTGATTCTAACGGCCTGCGACGCAGTTTCCCGTTATGAGAGCGAGACGAATGGGCTAATTGAAGCGCCATGTTGTCGATTTGATGCCCAGTGGCTCTGCCACTGCCACTGCCACTGCCACTGCGACTGCGACTGCCAGTTGCAGCCGCCGCACTATGAATGCATAATTAACGGAAAGCCAAAGCAACGCCGCCGCCCACCCGCCCAAAGGCGACGGGCAAATTTGGCAACGCTGCACCCGAAATGCAACTCAAAAAGCTGCACTGAGAGAAAATAACAGCGCAAGTAACGCATGTGGAAAAGACCACGCGAAACGTGGGGCTAAAAGTTAAAATCGGAAAAGGAAATTGCAAGAAAGTGGAACCAATGGTAAGTGGACATGGACATGACAAGGGGCATGGGACAAGGGATTGGAACATGAAAATGAAAAGTGAATAGCGAAAACTTAACTGCGGTCAAGGGAACGTTAGGAATGAAGAAGATTAAATGGATAATGATGACGGCATAGGGGGAACCAATGGAAAAGGAATAGCAAAAATTCAACCAACACAAAAATCTAATTTTTTCTACATCTTTCAGTTAAATAAATCAGTGCCAAAAAGGGAATTTACACAAAAGATCAGATCATCCTGTGATTTCCATTTCCTGTTGCCATGAAGCAACAAATTATGTCTCGGTCACATTCCATTAAGTTTAAATCAATTTTAAGATGGATTAACGCCTTTTCTTTCGCTCAGTGACGACCAGGCTTCAGTGCATAATTAACAAGTGAAAATGGCCAACAGTGCAATTGCAAAGTCCCACAACGGACAAATGGCAAATGCAATAAACATTCAGCTCAAGTAATAAGCCAGCACATAAAATATGCCATTAAATGCCCGATTGCGATGGAGTCCAGCAGAGACCAAAAACGACGGACCAAGACGAAGATGGAGACGGACAAGTGTCCAGTGGGGAAGACTGGGAGAGAGAGAGAGCACAGGACGGACGGACACACAGGACACGGCCTGATGCTGTCAAAAAGTCAAAGCCATTAGCCGCACACACACACACACACACAGAGGGACCCAGAGAGATGCGTCCGGTGCCATCAGAAAGGGGAAAATTGAAACCGGAGATGGAAGACCACTGACAGAGTTGGCAGAGAGTCACGGGTGTCACAGGAGTTGTGTCCCGGGTGTACTGGGTGTCCTGGGCATCCTCCGGTACCACTTTTCACACGAAACTAACGCAAATGAACAACGAAATTCCGGGACACACTTCATTAGTGCAACGAACCCGTGAGCCCGGAAAGGAAGGCATTCAAAAAAAAAAAAAAAGGCAGCTTGTCTCCACCGCAGGACATGGACAATCATGTTCTGGACATTGCTCTCAACCAGACGGCTCATTGCCTCTGACAGGCAAAAATATGTATAAACCTTTCAAGCCTGATTGCTGCGGTTTTGTTGGGTCGCTTGAGGACAGGCAGGGACGGCATCCTGGACACGGACAATATCGGCAAACATTTCACCTGACAAGCAACAAGCAACAAAACTAAAAACCCTCAACAAAAAAAGTGGAAAGAGAAAGAGAAATTGATGTGTGTGCATTGCGACTAGAAAATATCCCTGGTAATGGGTGTTATACATATTCGAGCTGGGATACGTTTTTAAATGTTATTTTAAATAGTTCTAAAAATATGCCATGAGTTTTCAGTTGCGATGCTTTTTTAGTTCAATTCAAAATTATCATAAATTGGGAAACAGATGTATTGAAAATATTCGAACCACCTCTTGAAGCACCTCCTAGGGAAAGTATAAACAGGTATGCACCCTCCCAATCATATATTGTTGTGTTTATTATCATTCATGGCCCATTCACGGGGCTCTAACCAGTTCTATTCGTTCACTCAAGTAGTAATCTCAAACGCTTTGCCCTCCAATGAGTGGAAAAGATTTGTATGCTGTGGCTTATGAAGCAAAACTCCATGATGAAATTGTCAACCGCAGTGGGCAGGTAATTCGGGAAAGGGTGGTGATGCCGGATGAAATGAAACAGGACATTGGTGGGGCAGACAAAAAAGACATGAAAATTCCACAAATAAATGCAAACAAGTACAAAGATGATCCGGAAAATTACATGGAAATGCGTGCAAAATACATGAAAAAGGAAATGAAAGCAGCCACCGAGAATCAAGACATGGCAATGCATGAGAGAGTAATGAATATGGATGTGGTAAAGCCCTCGGCAGGAGTAGAACCCGATGAAGAAACGTCCGAGCACAATAGGCAGACGAATGCAGACCTCGATCCGGAGCTGACTGAAAGGGATATGTTGGTTCGTAGAGGCAGGATCGCCGTACTGGAATTGATCAACGAAAATGAAGTGAATTTGCATTATGCACCGTTTTTCCTACAAAAACTGGTCGAACAGGCAAAGGAAACAACTCCGGATCATGCACAATATTTCCTGCGGCAGATTATCGATGAGCAAAAGCAGCACTTGGACCACGCTGATGAGGATTCGCTCAAAGAACTAATCAAGATGATCATACCAATGGACAAGAAGAGCGTCACCAAAAAGTGGATCAAAGAGTACAAGGAAAATAATCCGTTGACCATTTTGACCGATTACGATTTGGAGGATTTGGCCAATGAAAAATCGATTTTCCAGGAGATGACATCCGAACAGATGCAGCAATACAATGCCGAGCAGAGTCAAAGACTGGAAATGAACATATTCCTGTATAACGGCTTGGTCAATGGTCTTCTGTTGGCATTTGGCTGCCTCATGTTGAGCAGCACGCTAGATTTTATGTTTGGCTAACATCCCCACATGCAGCAAACCATCTGGCAGACAAAACAGAATTACATAGAAATGCATACGATAGCTGGAAATCTACATAAACAAATTAAACTAAATTTTAAGCATTTACAAAAATTTCAAAGTTAAGAATTATTTAAATTATATAAATAAACTAAACTTATTATACATACTGCATTGGTATGCATTGTTCTATTATATAAATAAAATAAGTTATACAAATAGTTAGCTAATATTATATAAATAGTTAATATTTAAATTATATATTAAGCTAAACTAGTATTTAATATTTATTTCTCTATTAATTTGCCTTGCTCCCAAAATTGTGGTTCTTCTGAGGGGGTGGCTGGCCGCGACTGCTTTCCACTCGACATGGCTGAAGTCAGGGGGAGATTATTTATTTACTTATTTAATATATAAATTTATTATTTTAATTATTATAATTAAAGTAAATAAATGAATTTTATATTTATTATATTTTATTATTATAATCAAAGTAAATTGTATTGAACTTTATTCTGTTTAAATTTATTTTTTTAATTTTTACTTTTAAGTGTTTTATATTTATTACATTTTATTATTATAATCAAAGTAGATTCTGTTCTTCATTCTGTTTAAAATTAATTTTTTTATTTATTTATTTTTAAGTGTTTTATATTCATTATATTATTATTATTATAATCAAAGTAAATTCTGTTGAACTTCATTATGTTTAAATTTTAATAGCGAATACTTAATTTTAATATGTGTATGCTGATTTTTATTAAGCATAATAAACCCTCTCAGAAGCTCGTCCAACTATAGGGTATACAAATCTAATAGAACAAGCAGCTCAAAGTACAGTCACGTCAGAGAAGAAAAAACGAGTAAGGGAGGGGACTGGCAATGCTCTCTAAGCCGCTGACAAAGCCTCACTAATACCGTTGCAATTAGCAAAAACGTGTGTGTGCACCTGTACAGACAGTTGCGCCAAAAAATTGTGGAGTTTGAGGGGGGTGGCTGGCTGTGACTGCTGTCCACTCGACATGGCCTGAAGCCAGGGGGAGATTAGAGCCCAAAGTTGTTTATGGTCCAAAGGCAGCGTCCGACAGCATTGCCGGCCGCAGGGATAAAGCATAATGAAAGTAATAAAGTTCCAGGACAGCAGCCAGCAGCCAGCCAGCAGCAGCAGGAGCATTGGTTCCTGGCTACACAGATCAGCGATAAAAACTTTTGTATGCCCGACGAGGCAGAGAGTCCCATCCTGGCCGCCTGTTTCTCCTCTCATATGTTGCACGTGTGTCGTGTTTTAAAGGTCTGACTTTCTGTCTGTCTGTCTGTGGTTCCATCCGACAACACTTTCGACCAGAGCAGACATTTTTATCGCCACCTTCACTGCTGGTCCTTACAATCCTTTTTCTGTTTTTATTGAATATTCATAAATGGCCCAAAAAACGAAAAGCAGCAGAGTGTCCCTTCCAGTGGAGGAAGGAGGAGGCGCCTCTGCCTCTGTCTCTGTCTGGAGTGGAAGTGGAATCAATATTTTATGCCACACATACGATCAAGCAGGAGGAGTGTATGTCTATGCAACAGGAAGTGCAACACATGTCTACTCCATTGATGAGGAGGAGAAGGCTGAGGCTGCTAGTCTAGAAAATATCCTTTGGTCACTTCAATTGTGTGTGTTTTCCAACGGAAAAGCCACACCACACAGACTTTGAATTTGTTTGTGTGTCGTCTTGCCATATAAAGATTTTATTGCCTACATATTTGAGCAGATGCTGAAGTTTGGCAACGTTGCCAAAGCCCTGCCAAAGAGTGCAGGAGTGGAGGGGTGGAGCAGTGGAGTGGCACAAGTGCTATGGAAATTATGAAGCAATTAGAACGCATGACTGCATTCCACTCTTAGCTTCAAATGGAGCCTGAATGGGCTGCTGCTGCTGCTGCTGTATGCATAGCAACGCATATCAAATTAACTAACAAATTGACTTGTCAAAAACTCTTTTGCCTTCGAGGGAAATTACAAGCCATTAGCCAGAGAGACAGAGACAGACACGCCCACAGACAAAAACGATTCACAGTTATTAATGAAGAAGAAAAGCCTGGGAAAAGCTTTCATTTGGCAAAGAACACGCACGAACAAATTTCCATAATGAAGAACCAAAAACACACAGAGGGTTGGAATATGATGGATTGTATGGCGCGGGGTAACAGCAGAAAAAGCAGCAAGAAGAGAGCTATTCAAATCGAAGCTATAGTTACCATCTAAATTGAAGATTCCTCCGTCTGCATTTTGTTCGTGGGGTAAAGAAAGGGAGAGATGCTCGGTCGGTCTGCTTTGTCCCTCAAAATTCACCCTCAACGCATTAATTAACAAAGAAAATTTTTTTTTAACTATTATTAATTTAAATTTTAAAAGATAGCGCAAAAAGCATAAAAAATGAACTGCTGGTGGGTCGATATATATTTGAAAAAAAAATCTATAAATTCGAACATTTATTTTCGTGTCGAAGCAAAGTAATTATCATTATGGGAGAGGGTAAAGTAACTCCCAGGCCCCAGCAGGGCAACACGTAGCAAATTATGAATGAATGAGTGTAAATGTGAATGTGAATGCGAATGAATGAGTGGCAGATAGTGGGACAGGGCAGCAGTGGCAGTGGAGAAGTGGAAGAACCACCCCAGAGATGGGCCCATCGGCAGGCAGGCGTAATTGGCACTTAGAGTGTGACACTGCCACTAGCACTGCTGCTGCTGCGGCTGTCACATGTGGAAAGCGGCTCGAATTAAGGCTCGACAAATAACCATGGGAGACTCCAAGGCAGTCGCCATCCCCAAGCTGCGAAAATTAGCTGCCATTATCCAAGATTACAGAAAGATGAGGCCACAGTCTAGCTCTGACTTTGGCTAGGGAATAGCCATATCCGTAGCCATATCCACAGCCATATCCATATCCTCTTGTGTCCCATTAAATACTGATTCGAGTTTACTCTATAAATATCATATTTTCCATACCAAAAGAGGGAAAACTTGTAGTGTTCGCTGCTTCAGACCAAAAAATAGGGTTAGGAATGGCCCAATTTAAATGAGAGGTTTTCCCCAATATTTAAGACTCGGAAAAACCCTAAACTCGAGTGGAAGACCTTCAAATAGAAAGAGCCCTAAATGTTGTTACATTTCAACGTTCACCTGCTGAATTTTTCATATATTTTACTGCAAAGCGTGGGATAAATGTATTTAAAATCATTTTGGCGAACACTCACCTGACTGAGCTCATCCCGGGATCGGCGCGAACACTTGGGCAGCAGGGCCTCTGTGTCATCTTCGAAGACATCGCCGCCTTGGGCCATGTCAACAACATCTTCGATGTCCGTTGTTGGCTCCAGGCTGCTGCTGTGCCGATGGCTGCGGCTGTCTCCGTTCTGATTCGATGATTCCACCGCCACCGCTGCCGCCGCCCCATGGCTTGTGCCGGAGGATGTGGTCATGGAGCCAACGTTTACTCCGTTCTGAAGGTTCGACTGCTGCTGCTGCTGCTGCTGCTGTTGGGATTTTTGTGACTGTTGGCCATTGTGATTGTTATTGCTGCTGTTGATATTATTGTTGTTGTTGTTGTTATTGTTGTTGGTGCTGGCAGTGTTGGCAGAGTTTCCGCCGTTCACTGACTCCGCCGCGTTGCTCTGTGGTGCGGCTGTCACAACTCCACCAATGGCCACCGATGCTAGCGGTTCACTTGTTCTGCAATAAATTAATGGGATAAATGGTCAATTAGTAAACAAAATCTACAAGATTTTCCTTTATGGGATAGCAGTACAGTGCGTTTCATTAATCACACATGTATCGATAAGAGCAATATATTCTTTTTTTCGCACATTTATCGAGGCTTAAAGTAATTTCAACCAACGTTCAGCAGCCGCAATACATTCATTGAATAGTAAAAATAAATAAATAACAAAATAATTTCATTTAATTTATATATTTTAATTTAATATATTTTAATGGAAAAGTAAAGTAGAGAATATATATATTAATTATGTTAATGGTTTCATTCTATTGCAACCCCCCACACACATCCATCGATCTGGTATTTCCTGGTACATTTTTTTAATATTCCCATTTCATATTTGTATAAAATATTTCACTTTCCCTGTGCTTAAATCTTAAAGTCTTGTCGAACAAGTAGTCAGTAGCCATCGATTGCCTTAAAGAACAACTTCGTTTCGCCCATGGAGACACCCATTTGTCAGTGAGAAATCAGCTGTCAAAAGGTTAATTTGCGACACATTTTTTTTCCCCCTCAGCAGACAGCACAGGAAGCACAGTACTCGCATCGTCACAGAGTGACGCCTCAAAAGCGGGCAATTTTACGCCATTTTAACAATATTTCTATGACAGGACCCACAAAATGTTATTAATGAATTTTCGCCGCACAAGAAAAAGCAACAGAAAAGGAAAACGACAACAGAAAAAAAATATATAAAAATAAAGAAACTCCATGTGCGCCTCAAGGACACTGCCGCCTCCTCCTCCTCCTCCACTTCACTTCAAGAAAAGATGAAGGACGACCACCCTGTTGTCGGTTGATGGATCAGCGACCCCCACCATAACCTAAAGGGAAGAAAAAGTCCATAAACATGAAGGCGGAATGGAATGTGCTGTTTCGACAAACATTCTGACATAATCATGTCAAATTAACACGGAACAGACATGTTCCAACAGGACATCAGATCAGCCACATGCAATAAGGATAATATAAAACTTGTCAAGGAATTAGACAGCCTGTTAGAACTTGAGGCAGGCTCAAGGACACATCGCAATCCATCCAAATTTTGCGTGTGGATTTATGCGGCAAACAAACAAAAATCGGGGAAAATGGAAAAACAGAAGAAAAAAAATCAGTGCGGCCTACTTTTGGGGGCGCCGCGGAATATGGAAATTATGTGCCCCACTCTCATGGCAATTAAGATTAAGTGGCGACTGCCAACGCGTTGGCACGGATGGGGGGTGGGGTGGGGAGGGAGTGCCTCTAAATTTTTGCCTGCTGCTGATTGAAGGTTAAGATTTGTCGAAGAACTAAAAGCTTTAATGCGGCACTAAGTAGCTCACTTTTATGAGCAGTCTTAGGGGCAACTGTACCCAAATTGATTGTGTTTTGGAGGCAACTCTACTTGGGGAACTTCTGTTAAGCTGTTAGCCCTAAGATCAGCGCTACTGTTTCACTTAATTTAAGCGTCAAAATTAAGGACAGTTTTTTTGGAAACAAAAAAGGAGACTAAACTTTTTTTAAAAATAGTAAGGAAAACAAAAAAAAAACAAATAACTAAATATTAAATGAATAACTTTCCATTCATATGAAATAAGTATATGTGCATTCTAAATGAAAATTAAAAATACTAATGAAATAATTTTTTTAAAATTTTTATTTTTGCTTATTAATAGTTTATATGCTTTCCCTTTTTAGTGAAATTTGATTTATCCGGGTGGGCATTGAGGTCAAGTGAATTGAGGGTTGCCCGAGAGGTCCCGCCGCGGGCCCGCCAGCACAGGGGGGCCGCCCCCCCCCCGGTGGGTATAAGGCCCCCCCCCCCCCCCCGGCCGCGCCGCCCCCCCCCCCCCCCCCCCGGAGGGCGCCCCCCGGGAACCACCGTTCGCCCTGGTGCGTCCCCCCCGCCCCCCCCCCCCAAAGACCCCCCCCCCCCGAGCACTACAAACCACCTACAAAAAACCGTTACGTTTGAACAAATTAAAATGACATATACTTCTTTCCCTGAGGTACATAGATAGAATAGATAGATATATGTAGCTGTATTTGAACTCTGACCTTCGGCAACATCATTTAAATTGACAGTAGCTATCGGCAGATACACAGATACACAAGTGTGAGATACAATATCTGACTACTCATACTCGTGGATAGCGCGCGTGAAATATTATTAATGGAAACTTCTACTACCGCAGATAGATCCGAAAATTGATAGTAGGAAACAGCAAATCAGGTGCTATTTTTTTTTTTTAATTTATTTTATCGATCGACAACTGTAAGATTCCAGTGGCACGAACATCATTCGTCAGAAGCTGTATGTGAATTCTAATATATCGACGAAGACGAAGAACTGTGCTGCCACCCATCAAGAAGTATTATCTTTTAAACATAAGTATGCCCTATTCCAGTCTCCTCAGTTATGATTAGATTATGCTGACAGCACGACTGGATTTTTATCTTCATATCTATCCATGTGTGTAGTGCCTATATATATTTGGTATCTTTATCTCTCCTTAGTTAGCTTGGGGCGACGGCAGCAAACTCAATTATTAGTCTCGAAACAAATGCAAAAGTTCAAGTCCACAAGGGGTCCCTGTCCTGGTCACACAGGAAGTTTCGCTTCAAACTGCAATCACAGCCAGCCATCCATCCATCCATCTGTTGGTTACCCCCCGTTATTACCCCTGTCACAAAGCAATCTCCACTACAGTTGTTCCCAAAAAGTTTTCGATGAATATGTGTTCGTTCTCTTCCAAAATAAAAGATGAAAATTCCTGTTTCTAAATCAAAGCACAAAACAAAACAGAACAGAACAGAAAAGTAAGCATAAAGTGGAACTCGTATGCGGGCGGGTCACGCCTTCTAGGATGCGGATGCGGTTTGAATTGTGGAGGATTGCAGTGCAGAGGATTGGGGTTACAAATACGAATACCAGGCCAGTGCCAGTGTTGGGTTAGGATCAAGTCTCGCCATGGAGTGTATGTGGGCTCCACTGTGTATGCAAATTAGTTGTGACAGCTTTCAAAAAGTTTCACATAGTTGTCGATGGCTGCCAAAAGAGTGCTTCCGTTCTCCTCATTTGACAGCTGACACATCGGAAAGGCAGAGTGCACAAGGAGAGTTCAGAGCGTTCAAAGTTCACAGAAGAGTGCGAGAGAGAGAGGGCGAGGGATGGAGAGCTGCATTCCTGATGAAGTGGCAGTAAGGGCGGGCGGGCGGTTGGGCGGTCGGGCGCCTTGTCTGTGCCCCACGGGCGCATGCAAAGCTCAAACCGTTTTTGATATGGTAATGTGGCAATGGAAATGCGTGTGTGGAATGTACCATTATTAGATTTTTACTCAGCAGACGAGTCGTTTGGTTTTGGCTCTCCCGCTCTCGCCCTCTACCTCTCGAGGGTGCCATAAAGTAGTAATACTAATTAAGTTGTGTATTATGCATGTGCAGATGACGCACCCCCGCCACGCCACGCCAAGCCACGCCACGCCCCAAAGATGTAGCATGAATCTGTGCGTGTTCCTGTGCTGTGCGCCTCAGGGTGTCTGCAGGGATGGGATGCCAGCTCTGCTGTGTGCTGTGTGCTGTGGCAGCCACTCGACTTGAGTAAAGCAGTTGACATCGTTTGCCACCGAACAATGAATAGACTGCCAGTGCGACTGCCAGTGCGAGTGCCAGTGCCAGTGCGGGAGTGGCAGCCAAGTGTTTTGTGGTTGCACATAACCTGAAGTGGATGTCATCGATGTGTGGCACAGGGCAGCGAGACAGCAGACTAGGTCAGCTTTTTGTTGCAGCTAATGAAGAGAGGATGGAAAGTGGGTGGGAGAGTGCTCGCAAAATAATCTTCGAAATAAAAGAAAAATTTAAAAAACTATAGGAATAGATCCTTCATTTTCTGCGGTCATGCGGAAGCGCCACTCGGTTCCGAAACGAGAAAATTTCTCCTTCAAACTTAGTGGCACAAAACCTATGAGTGTAGGGAACTTTTTGAGCGGGGGATTTCCGCCTTCAGTGGCTCCCTTCCTGGGGATACATAATTTGTGTCGCGCCTTGTGCAGTGGTAACTCACCTCGCCTTGCCGTGTGCCTTGAATTGTGACACTTCGGCGTACCGTCTGCCCAGGGGCGCCTCCTGGGGACTGAGCAGAGCATCGCAGTGCGGGCCAGTGGCTGATGGCATGGCCTTGAGCAGCTGTAGGCCACCAGCATTGGTGGGCAGCGAGTGCCGATCGGCGGTCTCGGCCCCACTGCGATTGGCTAGGTTCTTGAGCTGCTCCCGCAGGGAGTAGTCCACGGAGCTGGAGCAGGAGGTGGACTCGGAGGAGGAGGAGCTCAAGTTGGAGATGGAGCGTGGTGGGGGTGGGCCAGCGTTGCCATTCTGTAGATCCTCATAGGCGGCATGGGCATCCTCCGAAGTGGTGCTACCGCTGCTGCTGCTGCTGCTGCTACTGGTAGTCCTCGTACTGGAGGCCGATGACTGATTGCTGTCCATGCTGGCAATCGAATTGCGATTGCCATTCTCCAGCAGCAATTCCTCCTGTTTAGATGTGGCATTGCCATGGGTCTGCATCTGATTCTGATTTGGATCATCATCATCGTCTACATCCACCTGCTGTGGCACAATGATCAGGGATGTGCGCTTCCTGAGCGTCTCATCCTTGGCGTTCATATTCTGTTTGAGTGTCTTGTCCGACTTTGTGTAGACAATCACCTCCACCTTGGAGGAGGCATCGCTGCACTCCACCACAGATGGAGCACCTCCTGCTCCGGCTCCTGCTCCTGCTGCTCCTCCTCCGACGTTTGTGGCCGTGTCGTGCGACATTCTCGTGCTGTAAATTCGCTTTGGATTAGAGAAAGAAGAGTCACGGTATATGGCATGGAAAATTATGATGCTACCAACTCATGCAACTCATGAATGAACCTGCCACTGCCACTGTCACACACACACATGTGTCAATCTCTTTTATTGATTCCGACATTTAATACCCTCTCGCATATTCGATGAACCCCACGCGGTGCCAGGGCCCCTTAAAATGTTATTACCAATAAAATGCCAAGCCAAAACATTGTCAGAGCAGGGTAGCAGCAACACCTGCCAGCTGTCTGGAAATGTTACCCCACCCCATCTCCACTGGCCTCATATAGCTCATACTTCGGTAAGGGTCCATTAGCTACACTGTAGAAAAAGTCATAGTAAAAATAACTACAATCTATTTGTTTAAAGCCATTTTTAAATACAAACTAGTAAAATTTATCTTCACTTTATTCAAATATAATGTATTAAAATGCTTTTATAATCGGTCTATTTATCTAATAAAAACACTAAAATACTTTATTATTATTTGTAGTTTAAATGTTTCATATTTAATATTTATATGTTGTTTAAATTTTCTTAAAATAAAGAAATTTTTATTTAAATATTCATATTAAATAATAATATTTTTTGATTTATTTTATATGTTTATTTATTTTGTATGTCCCCTCCACTAGTTCCAGCGTGCTGCCTTTCGTAAATATTTAGGCGGCTATCACAACATGCGTCCATGTTGCTTATTCTAGTTAAACTTTGACCAACCCTGGGCTAAATGTATTTGTACGCAAAATAATAACAATTTAATATATATATAAATATAACTATTAGTTTAAATATAAACTATTAAATTTAAATATGACTATTAACTAAATATGAACTATTAAATTTATATAAACTATTAATTTGAATATAAACTATTAAATTTAAATATAAACTATTAAATTTAAATATGAATATTTAAATTTAAATAATTCTATATTAATATAAAATTTAAGTGAAAATATCATTAATACAACCATTCTTGGATGAAATTCAATGGCATAAATATTAAAATCTAAGTGAAAATATTAAAATTTCAGGGCTTTTTTCTATCGGTGTAGGGGCCTCAAAATGAGACTTTTCTTTAGAAATAATAACCGCAATTAATGTGCAACATATACTCCTTTTCTGTGATCAATGTCGAGTCGAGGAACTTTAACATTAAGACCGCGTCTCATTGGAAGAGAGCGATAGCAACAAGTCTCTCAAAGTCTTTAAATCTCCCATCGAATAAATCTGCGCGGATTATACACCAAGTACATATGTATAGGGTATACAACATTCGACTTAAAGCACCTACTCTACTCGTACTTTCTGGAGTTTTTTGTTTGGTTTTGTTTTTATTTTTACTATGCATTTTCAATAATAATTTCGCTTGAGTGCTTTGGTGTCTTCTGCTCTGACATTCTGCTTTGGGCAAGTATCACATTTCATTTTGTGGAACAAAATTATTATGCATTTACGAAGAAAAAACCTAAGCAGAGAGCGACAGTGGACAGGGAAAACGGAAGCCAAAAGACAATATCCAGAGCCTGTTTTTACCAATCCAAAGAATCATTCGGTCAGTCCCACTTGAAGGAAAAAGAAGACTGAACGACTGCAAGTCTGTGAATTAGATATACAAAATAATACTTACTAATAATAATGCATGGACTTACATATGAACTGAAATTTCCATTGGCCAAAAGACCAACTAATTTAAAAATCTTTATTTTTATTATTTTAATTTCCTAAATGCAAAACAATGTCTAAGCTATTAGCAGAACAGGCGCATATTCGGTTGGATATTCATCCCATTTGAGCATTCATTTAGCTTAAACAATTTCGTGACGATATGCAACAACTACGAGCATGGTTTATGCTTAATGTTTATGTTGACATCAAACGAAAAGAAACCCCAGCAAAAGCCATCACTATACGGAGTACCAAAGCGAATATCCACTGGGGTCCGTTTTTTCGTTGTTTGTGGTCGAGTGAATTTTCAATTTACTTATTTGTTGTTTCCCCCACCCACAGGCGGCCACGGAGGGGAAGTCCAATGTCTGCTGCGTGTTTCATCATTCGGTTAAACAAATAATGACCAATTCTTGGAGATTTGTCGCCGAGCTTCCGCTTATCGTCGTCAAGAGCTGTGCTCCAATGCCAAACAGAAGCCAAACAAATACACAGAGAAGGACGCAAGAACAAACGCAAGGAAAAGCAATAAAATTGCAAAATTATTTCATTTTCAAAAATATTCTGGACTCAATTTTTCCGAGTATATTTTCAGTATTTTCAGTCTTTGGAAAATATGAATAATAATGTATAATTATTTTTTGATATTAAGGAATTAGCTTCAAGCGTTTCTCTGTACAAATTTCGCATAGGCGAATGGATATATTCCTTTTTTTACACGCCTACAGTAAGCGCATGTACTATTTCCCCATTTGCAGTTCGAATGTTAAGTGATTTCTGTTGGAAATCCATGCGATGTTTTACCTTTTCTCCCCGCCCCGCCTCGTTCAGGGTGCGATTATAATTGATACTTTCACGAATGCCCGCGATGTGTGTGGTTATTTGTTGGGAATTATCGTGCTTATGGGAGCAGCAGCAGCCAATGGGGGGATTGATATGCCGCATTTTGCAATTACCTGAATCACTTGACAAGCAACGACAACAATTACAATCAAATAAAGGCAAAATGTTCGTGCCCGACATATTCGAAGCGTTTCGATTACAGACAGACAGACAGACACACTCGTTTTCATTTGAAACGATTGCAAAAGTTATTCCATACATTTGTGATGCGGATTCTCTTTGCTATCTGCTCTCTGATTCTATGATTCTATGATTTTGGATTCATTTGCAAACAGAATTTCCTTGTAAATATATTTCCATAAATTGTCTGCTCCTCCTCCTCCCCATTCTTTACTACTCTGCAGAGTTCTGTCTGCCTTCTGCCGTTTGTTTCGTCTCTATCTCTCTCTCTCTGATTATTATGCAAAGTGTGAAACGCAATTGTCAACAAATTGTCAGCCAAATATGGAAATCGGTATAGTTGAGGCAGTTTTTTCTACCCTAAATAGATATACATATCTGTATGTAGATATACATACATATACATATGTATATGTTCGTGACAGGGAATGGTAGTCGCGATATGCGAGAATATCATTGAGATTTTGGGCTTGCTGCCAAGTCAGCTGAAGCTTGACGAGTGGCGGTTTTTTGTGGCGAATTTTATGGCGAGGGAATAGTTTTAGCTGGCCTGTATGTATGTCTGTTGTGTGTGTGGTGTATATGGGGATAGTGATCGATTTCAAGGCCAAAACAAGACAAACAGACCGCTTAAAGGGCAACACTTGTGGGTGGCAGCAGGCTTTTTGTTTATGGGAGCAAGTGGCAGTATTTAGCAAATTTACTGTAGAAATACTGAATATTCATGCAGTATTCATTTAAAAGAAATAACATACAAAAAATAGATGAATTTTTTTTTGTTTTTAATATTTATAGAAATAATCAATTTTTATTTATCATAAATAGATGATTCAAAAGATGCCCATCCTCTGATTTTGTATGTGATTCATTTTTGAATATTTCCCCATAATAATTCGCACATTCAACATATCTTAATCATCATTTTTTAGCAGCTAATGAATCAAAACATACAACGAAAAATAAATGTATAAATGAATATATATTTCTCCGCTTCGATCCTTAGACAATATATAAAGTGTTAGAGGAATTGTACAAATAGTACAGATAGTTGTGTGCGGTAAGTGCATCTTTCATCTCGGAGGCCATTAGAGAAATCCCATGAATACACTCACTACACTCCACTCCGTATGAGTATGTGATTCATATAAGGGCAAGCGCGATGAGTGTGTGGAGTGTGTGAGTGTGAATGGGGAATGAGTGCTTATCGCTTACACAACGAAAAAGCACACACACGCACACACACACAAATGTTGTTCAACTTTTCTAATGTTGAATGCCCTGCAATCATTCATCTCCCTCTTTGGACTACCCTTTCTCCCACTCCCCACTCTCCCTCACCATCTTCTCTCTCTCTCTCTCTCTTCTGTCCAACACTCCATCGACTTAAGTGGAATGCAATAAACTTTGAGCTTTGCCTCCCCACCCCCACGCACCCCCTCGCTGCTGCTGCTGCCGCTGCTGCTGATGCCTTCTCCAGTTTCTGTTCAAAAGTCAAAATAATATTTTCGTACCCCGTTAATCGTGCAGAGGCAGGGTGGGCATGCTGTTGCTGTGCAACGACAAAAGCATCTACAAATAAATTAATGCAAGATTTGAACAATAATGTTGCAGACCAAATGCATTCGGATTCGAATCTGGCAGATCTGGCAATGCTGTGTTCGATTTAACCAAAGATTTATTCCGCTCTTTTGTTTCCTTTCCACAGATAGAAGGTATCCCATAGTCCCAGCACTTCAACCCACTCCGCCCCACTCGCAATTGGTTTTTTATTGCTGTTTGTTTTCTTTTTCTTTTTTTTTTAAATATGTCGTAGATGGTCAGCCAGGCTGCTGGCTCCTGTTCTGACATTTGGTTGTTGTACTCCCCTCGCGTGCTGCCCCTGCCCCTGCAATTGTCATTATCTTTCGATCTGCATTTTAGAAACGAGAGCCGAAGCTCTTTGCACGAAATACACACACACACACGGGAGAGATTTAAATTCTGCTGTTGCTCTCTCGGCAATTCCTTGTGTCCTTCATTTCTATCAATCGCTCTGTCAACAGCAACTACAATGCCACACTCAGCTTCGACCCTCTCTCTCTCTCTCGATCTTAGGGCTCGCTCTCAGCAACAACAAAAGCTTAAGAAATAACAAACGGGAACCTGGGAACCTTCATTTTTTTAATTTAAATTTTTATGCTCTTCTTTAATTGCGAGGATATTTAGGGATATTCGGGAGATAAGCCGAGGTATCCCATAGTCTCCATTCGCACTTTCTTTAATATATATATTTTAATTTTT